ACTAAAGTTTTGTGGTTTAAATTATCAGATATTTGTAAGTTTTTATTCTAGTAAAACAACTTTAGTTAGTACTTCCGTGTAAGTGGTTTTTATTCTACTAAAACAACTTTAGTTACTACTTCTGTTTGTAAGTTGTTTTTATTCTAGTAAAACAACTTTAGTTAGTACTTCCGTGTAAGTGGTTTTTATTCTATTAAAACAACTTTAGTTATTACTTCTGTCTGTTAGCTGTTTTTATTCTATTAAAACAACTTTAGTTATTACTTCTGTCTCTAAGTCGTTTTTATTCTAGTAAAACAACTTTTAGTACTACTGCCTTTAAGTTGTTTTATTCTAGTTAAACAACTTTAGTACTTCTGCCCTTAAGTTGTTTTATTCTAGTAAAACAACTTTTAGTACTTCTGCCTTTAAGTTGTTTTTATTCTAGTAAAACAACTTTTAGTACTTCTGCCTTTAAGTTGTTTTTATTCTAGTAAAACAACTTTTAGTACTTCTGCCTTTAAGTTGTTTTTATTCTATTAAAACAACTTTAGTTAGTACTACTGCCTTTAAGTTGTTTTATTCTAGTTAAACAACTTTAGTACTTCTGCCTTTAAGTTGTTTTTATTCTAGTAAAACAACTTTAGTTAGTACTTCTGTCTTTAAGTTGTTTTTATTCTATTAAAACAACTTTAGTTAGTACTTCTGTCTCTAAGTCGTTTTTATTCTATTAAAACAACTTTAGTTAGTACTTCTGTCTTGAAGTTGTTTTTATTCTATTAAAACAACTTTAGTTAGTACTTCTGTCTTTAAGTTGTTTTTATTCTGTTAAAACAACTTTAGTTATTACTTCTGTCTCTAAGTCGTTTTTATTCTATTAAAACAACTTTAGTTAGTACTTCTGTCTCTAAGTCGTTTTTATTCTGTTAAAACAACTTTAGTTATTACTTCTGTCTTTAAGTTGTTTTTATTCTAGTAAAACAACTCTTAGTACTTCTGTGTAAGTTGTTTTTATTCTAGTAAAACAACTCTTAGTACTTCTGTGTAAGTTGTTTTTATTCTAGTAAAACAACTTTAGTACTTCTGCCTTTAAGTTGTTTTTATTCTAGTAAAACAACTCTTAGTACTTTTGTCTTTAAGTTGTTTTATTCTAGTTAAACAACTTTTAGTACTTCTGCCTTTAAGTTGTTTTTATTCTAGTAAAACAACTTTTAGTACTTCTGCATTTAAGTTGTTTTTACTCTATTAAAACAACTTTAGTTAGTACCTCTGTCTTTAAGTTGTTTTTATTCTGTTAAAACAACTTTAGTTATTACCTCTGTCTCTGAGTCGTTTTTATTCTATTAAAACAACTTTAGTTAGTACTTCTGTCTTTAAGTCGTTTTTATTCTGTTAAAACAACTTTAGTTAGTACTTCTGTCTTTAAGTCGTTTTTATTCTGTTAAAACAACTTTAGTTAGTACTTCTGTCTTCAAGTTGTTTTTATTCTGTTAAAACAACTTTAGTTATTACTTCTGTCTCTAAGTCGTTTTTATTCTATTAAAACAACTTTAGTTAGTACTTCTGTCTTTAAGTCGTTTTTATTCTGTTAAAACAACTTTAGTTATTACTTCTGTTTCTAAGTCGTTTTTATTCTATTAAAACAACTTTAGTTATTACTTCTGTCTCTAAGTTGTTTTTATTCTGTTAAAACAACTTTAGTTATTACTTCTGTTTCTAAGTCGTTTTTATTCTATTAAAACAACTTTAGTTAGTACTTCTGTCTTTAAGTTGTTTTTATTCTAGTAAAACAACTTTAGTTGGTACTTCGGTTTTTGTTTCTTTTGAATTTTTATAACACATATTTTAAAAACAGCTATTGATGAGTAGACATATATTTATGTTACAGGTCTTTTATTTTTCACCAAAGATAAACAGTTAGGCTTCTTTATTTCTGCGGATTGCTGACCCATGAATAGGTGAAAATGCAGTCCATAGAGGGTTTTGCCAATCAGAGAATGAATTAGGCATCTACGTCACAGGCTCTCTCTTCAATTTTACCTTTAGTGAAAAAGAAATCTGTAACATACATGTATAATCATTAAACAGCTGGTTCACTGTATAATATCAAATAATACATAAGGTGCAGTGGCATAAAATTCACACATCTAAGTTAATTTAGGTTACTAAGCAAAGCTCCATAAATCTTAGGAAGTGTTAATGATAATTTTTATTCACATGTGTAACATGAAAGAAAAACCCCTCTAGAATTGAATTAGAAAAGAAAAATATATAAAATAAGAAAAATTAATTTTAGCTTTGAGGAAGGTGTGACTTTTTTTGTGGGTGGAGGGTGAAAGTAATTAAATAAAGTTTTTGTTTTTCACATTTGTCTTCTTTCTACAGGAACAAGATCCAGGCTTCTTCTCTGTGGTTGAAGTACGTATCCACAGTAACCACGGAAACATGGACTATACCTGTGTTTATCGTATCAGAGTTCATGGTGTACGGCAGTAGGATGTGAATAAATTGTAGGAAGGTGTGATATCTTGGGTTATCAAACTTTAATCTAGACTGTAATGATCTGAGGTTCCTGGAACCACAAAGAATTAATCTCGTTCATCACATGACAGGAACTGGCTTCTTACTAGTTAAGTACTTTATTTTCGTGAAATACCAATTAAAAGAGTTCACTTCCATTGTCAGGAAACATTCTCTCATTATATTCAGAATGAGGGATAGAAAGAAAAACTATTGTAAAAGTATTTTTTTCATTAGAAACGAAAAAGATTGTTGCATTTTTACTGAAACCACAGTGTTTTGTTAGGATCGGTGATGTATAGGTATCCACTGATATGAACTTTTATATATATATATATAATAAATAAGTAATGTCTTCATCAGTTAAACAGCTAAGGTTAATTTTACGTTGTAATGAATTACAAGTCCTCTCATAAAAATCACAGATTTATCAGTTAATGTTCTTGGTTCTAGTCATTTATTTATTTCAAGTTATATGTGAAAGATGTAGTAAATAAATCATACTTGCTAAAATATTTTATCAGGAACCATTTATAAACAATCTTGTAGTAACTTTCTGAGCACACAAGTTGTCTCGTATCTAGGAACCATTTATAAACAATCTTGTATTAACTTTCTGAGCACACAAGTCATCTCGTATCAGGAACCGTTTATAAACAATCTTGTATTAACTTTCTGAGCACACAAGTCATCTCGTATCAGGAACCGCTTATAAACAATCTTGTATTAACTTTCTGAGAACACAAGTCATCTTGTATCAAGAACCATTTATAAACAACCTTGTATTAACTTTCTGAGAACACAAGTCGTCTTGTATCAGGAACCATTTATAAACAATCTTGTATTAACTTTCTGAGCACACAAGTCATCTCGTATCAGGAACCATTTATAAACAATCTTCTATTAACTTTCTGAGCACACGAGTCGTCTCGATGTGGAGGTTGAATGATTTTTATTAAAACTGTGGTAAATTTTAACACGTGACATCTTTTATTTTTTTGCATCACTTGCTATTTTATACATCTTCCTTGATGTAAATTATAAAAACTTCCGAAGAACATTATATCCTATTAAAGTACAAATATTCCCATTCGTTGTTCCATCTAACTGACATACACATTAAATACATCACCATAAATTATCACTGATCCTTTAAAATATTCTAACCATGAGATAGTAATGTGAATCTTTTGTGAAAATCATCATTTAACTTGCTTAGAGCTTTAATAAGTAAATTGATATGTTATTGATTACTTAAAATACAGAGTGCCAAGGTGAAACATGAGAAGTTATCTTTCTTTTCATCTTATTTTGTAATTTTTTCCATATTTCATAAAAATGTGTTGTATTTTGGTATTTATATTTAGAGTAAATTAAGTACTGTAAAAGTATTTTAACTGAATTATAGAGCTTTATCATAGATATATATATGTTTTTTTTATTTTCTATTTCAATACTACACACCTCAGATATTTCCTGATCTTTAAAGTCTGGTTCTGAGTATTAATCAAGTTCGTTTAAGATGTGAAGGAGCTTATACTAATAAAACTATTGTGAAATGTATGTTAGTCATATTATTAATGTTATTTTAGCACTTTACATAAAAGCTTTACAGATGGCTTGTATATTTACTGTACAAACATGTTTGAAATAGTGGCTTGTCGATATCTGAAGTTCTGGCATAACTACTGTCCTCAGTTGTATTAAATTTTAGATTAATAAAAAAACATGAAATAAATATTTTAAAACTGGAATGGAAGTTCCAACAGAGTTATCTGTCTCTGAAGTGTGAACAGAACTAAACAGATTTATCTGTCTCTGAAGTGTGAATAGAACTAAACAGATTTATCTGTTTCTGAAGTGTGACTAGAACTAAACAGATTTATCTGTCTCTGAAGTGTGAATAGAACTAAACAGATTTATCTGTTTCTGAAGTGTGAATAGAACTAAACAGATTTATCTGTTTCTGAAGTGTGAATAGAACTAA